TTTTCCTGCAAACAGCAGACTCATTTTTCCTTTTTCTTTTCTTTTAACTTTTTTTTGTTGTTGTTGTTCCCAAAACTACAATGTGTGTTGGCCTAACTGATATGGGATTCCTTTCTGTATGCTGTGAATAGCACTGGTTAATAAAGGAACTGGCTTGGCCAGATCGGATAGAACAGAGTTAGGCAGGGAAAATTAAACTGAATGCTGGGAAAAAGAATGAGGAGTTAAAGAGAAGCCATGGAACCACAAGCAGAGACAGATGTGCTGAAACTTTGCTGGTAGACCATGAACTCGTGGTGAGGCACAGATTAATGGAGATGGGTTAAATTAAGATGTAAGAGTTAGCAAATAAGAAGCTAGAGCTAAAGGGCCAAGCAGTGATTTAAATAATATACCTTCTGTGTGATTATTTCAGAAGTCTGGGTTGCCAGAAAGCAAACTAGCCTTCTTTACAACACCAAACTCTCCCTCTATTTGTATATTTAATTCATCTATAGTCATCGCAAAGTTTCTGTGTAACTTTTGAGCAGTTTTCCAACATTTAACTGCTGTTCAGAATAATACTTTTGTTTTCTTTTTAGCTGGAAATGCTGTAGTTCAGAGGTTGAGTGGTTGCCTGGTATGCACAATGCCTTGAGATTAATTTCAAGCATAGAAAAAACATATCATAAAAAAGTATTTACTGCCAGAAACATAATTTTATATCATTATTATTCATGTGTGCACAAATAATTATAATAAAAATTGTATTAAAATATTTTTGCAACTTTACTCAATACAATGTGGCATTTTATATTGTTACTTTAATATTTAGACATTTATATTAGTTATTATTCACAGAATTGACTTAAAAGTTTTAATCACCACTAAGCTAAAATCCACACCTTACAAGGCACTGTTTTAGATTATTATTAGCACTATATTTCCTATGTGGTCTATGTATTGAGCGTTTATCCAAAATTATTTTATCAGTTGTACACAAAAGATGCCCCATGCCCAAATAACTGGCAGAACCTTATACCTTCCTTATATCTTCAGGGCATATGTAATTTCACAGTAACATAGCTTTCACTTGTAGCATCACTCACATGTGGTTTCTATTTTTTTGGTTAGATGACTAGAAATTCATGTGTACTATAGATTTTTTTCAATTAATTAATTAATTATATTTAAGTGGCCTTTTTTTCATTTTCCATACCCATCCCAGTTCCCATTCGGTCCTCTCCTCCCACTCCCCCCACCTTCTACCCACCCCACTCCCATCCACTCCTCAGAGAGCATAAGGCTGGAGTCAAAAAAATGTCTGACACAGCACTCTGAGGCAGGACCAAGGGCCTCCCTGCTATATTTAGGCTGAGCAAAGTATCTCTCCAAAAGGAATGCACTCGAAAAAGTCAGTTGAAGTACTAGGCATAAATCTTCGTCCCACTACTAGTGGCCCCCACAAACTGCCCAAACCACATATCTGTCACCCACATTTAGAGGGCCTAGTTTGTCAGTCCAGAGACAGTGAGGTCCCACTCACTAAGGCTCAGGTCAGGTGTTTCTGTGGGTATCCTCCATCATGGGCTTGATCCCTTTGCTCATATTATGCTTCTCTATTTCTTCAACTCGTCTCCAAAATCTCAGCCCAGATTTTTTAAAAATGATAACTAATTCTATTTTGTTAATATTTTTCTAGGGGTTCCACATATGCAAACTCAGTGATTTTTAGTCTTAACACTTCTCTGTTTATTTTGAGTTTTCATTGCTTTCTTCCTCTTATTTCCTCAGGAGTGAGCATGGATTAAACTCACAGTGCTTCTCAACCTGTGGGTTGCAACCTCTTTGGAATCGAACAACCCTTTCCCAGGGATGACTAAGATCCTCAGAAGACACAGATATTTACATTAAGATTAATAACTGTATTAATTGTAGATATGAAGTAGTAACAAAAATAATTTCATGGTTGGTGGATGGGGGTCACCACAACATGAGAAACAGTATTAAAAGATTACAGTATTAGGAAGGTTGAGAACCATTGGATTTATATTTTATTAAGCTATACATTTTTTTTCTGCTCCCCTTCCTTCTTCCCCTCTCCCCTTCTATCCTCTCTTGTGATCCACTACACTCCCAATATACTCAGATCTTGTCTTTTTCACCTTCCTATGCAGATTCATGTATATCTCTCTTCGGGTCCTCTTTGTTTTCTAGGTACTTTGAGGTTGGGGACTGTAGACTGGTTTTTCTTTGCTTTATGTCTAAAAGCTACTTCTAAGTAAGTACATACTATATTTGTTCTTCTGGATCTGAGATACCTCACTCAGGATGTTCTTTTTTCTAACTCCATTCATTTGTTGGCAAGTTTCAAGATATCATTGGTTTTTTTTTTCCACTGTGTAGTACTCCCATGTATAAATGTACCACATTTTCTTTATCCATTCTTCAGTTGGGGGCATCTAAGTTACTTCCAGGTTCTGGCTATTACTAATAATACTGCTATGAACATGTTTGAGCATAAGATTAAAGATTTTATATCCTTATTCTTTTCTAATGTTATCATTCATTGTTATCAGTTTCTCATTAAACACTGGGTTAAAAGTACATTTTGTGCTTTAATATGTTGTATATTTGTTTTTTTTTAAACGATTTCTGCTTTTTATGACTTCTCTTTTCCATGTATTATTTGGAAGTGTCTAGTTGCATCTCCAAAATTTTGAGATTGTTCTATTATGTTTCTGGTTTGGGCTTGAATTTTAATTCCATTGATATCTGATAAAAATATATTGTATCATTTATCCTATTGCATACTTATCTATAATGTGACCTATTTTGGTAACTATTCCATTTGAATTTTTAAAGAATGTGTATTATATAGCTGGTTTAAGTATTCTTTCTTTACTGGGTCTTACATTGTAGCTAGGGTTGCTTTATAATTCTCTACATATCTGAGGGAAGCCTTGAATTCACAGTAACACTCTTGTCTCAGCTTCCTGATTCCTGGGATTATAGGTATGTGCCACCATACCAAACCTGACTATTGTCCAAGGTTTTCTGTCCCACTAGGTCCCATAGCTGTTTAGTCCCAAAGAAATCACACAGAGGTCTACAGTAATTATAAACTGATTGGCCCACTAGTTCAGGCTTCTTATTAACTCTTATAACTTATATTAACCCATTATTCTTGTCTATCTTAGCCACGTGGCTCAGTATTTTATTCAGCCAGGCAGTCACATCTTGCTTCTTCTGTGGCAGGGTCAGGACTGCAGAGGAATGGGCTTCCTTCTTCCCAGAATTCTCCTGTTCTCATCGACCCGCCTGTATTTGCTGTCTTGTTGTCCCACCTATACTTCCTGCCTGGCTTCTGTCCAATCAGCTTTTATTTAAAATATAATTGACAGGATACATACCATTGTCCCACAGCACTTGGCTGTAGTATTCTCTAAAGGTCAAGCAGATTAAGTTGACTGAATGTGCTGGTCAAGTTAACTATTTCCTTCTACGAATTTTGCCAGCTGATCTATAAATTACTAAAAGATAATGATGATAAATCTTGAGGTTTTCCCAACTTTAAATGGTTAAGCTTAATTTTTTATTTTTATTTTTTTAAGTTTGCAAGGATTCAAAACTTTTGTATTCAATAGTAAATACTACTGGAATATTTTTCTGAGCTAGGAATAATCTATGATATTCTAAGAATACCTAATAGTGGCAAGTAAATCACCATGAGAACAGTAAACAATAATCACTTCAAAACATGCTCTGTTTGGCTAATCTAAGGTTAATAACCTATATGGTAAGTTGTTGAAATAGGAGCGGCGGGGCTGCGTCCCCGGCACCAGGCCGCCTGCATGGCTAGGTTATGCCCCAAATAACAACACACAAACTGTATTCATTTAAACACTGCCTGACCCATTAGTTCCAGCTTCTTATTGGCTAGCTCTTAAATATTGTTCTAACCCATTTCTAATATTCTGTGTAGCCCACGAGCTGGCTCACCAGAGAGGAGCTTAACCTGCGTCTGTCTGGAGTGGGAGAATCATGGCGACTCCTCTACTAAGCTTCTTTTTCCCAGCATTCTCTTCTGTCTACTCCGCCTACCTAATTTTCTGTCCTATGAGGGCCGAGGCAGTTTCTTTATTAATAAGAAATCACTCCCACATCAGTAAGTAACCTATGTGTTTAGTAATCTATATGGGAAGTAACCTATAGGTTACTGACATATGGATAGGCTAGATGAAGTAAGATCATTTTGAACTACTATGTTAGCAACTTACAGTGCTTGTAACAGAACCAGCCTTACCATGGGTCAATGATCTGAAGTGGCTGTTTATTTCCAGTGTGGTTTTGAAAGTCTTCGCCACATTGATTTGCAATTTTGTTCTCAGGCATATACTTTTTAAAAAACTGAGAAATTTTAAGGTTTTTCAAATGGTTCTCTTTATTCTTGATAATGTTTTGTTTTCTGAAATAGAACTTGGCTAAAGTTAACATAGTTATTCCTTTATTTTTTTTACTAATACTATTACCTACTTTTCTCTTTCCTTTACTAATACCTACCTTTATTTTTAACAGATTTATTTGTATTTAAAATGATATAGATGTATAAACACATATTCTTTGGTTTTGTTGCTTTTATTGCTTGGGTTAAGTATATATAATAATGTACTTTATTATGGTACTTTTACATATGTATGCCATGTATTTTGTATGAAGCCCCTATTTCTCATCTCCTTCTCACTATCATCCATCCTCTTCCTCCTTCCTATTTACTCCCATTTACTTTCATATTTTTGTCTTTAGTATGCATGTGTGACCCAACAGATTTAGTTAGGGTTCCTTACAGATGCATGAAGGATAGCTTAAATGATCATGAAAGCACTTCTTGTGGTTAGCAAAGAAAATGTCTCTCCCTTCCCATGATAACTGGATCTTCTTTTAAAATTTAACTCTACTTATCTCTTTCTTTTAGCTGATATGTTTTGTTAATTTACTAAATAAATAGATCACAAAAAATATACATATGAGTTATATATTTATTATTACACTCTGAGAATTCAGGCATGAGTACACACAAAAGAATCTCAGATGAAAGTGAAGAAGGGGCAGAAGAGGAGAGAATTGATAGAGGTTAGGATTGGAGAATGTTCCCTTCTTGCATCTGTCTTCACACTTGGGTTCTTGATCATGGTGAGCTACATACTAATCTCAGGGTGCTAACTCTGTCTTCTAGGCTTTGAACTTGCAGACATATTGTAACTCCAAGTCACAATAATTATCTCTCCACTTTAGATATCCTGCAGACACAGAAGAAGCAAAATAAAAGTGTCAGGGGCATTTTGTAAACTCAGTAAAAGATCCAGGGTCTTTCTGTCATCTCTACCAGTACCTCACTCCAGCAGGACAAGATACAAAGAAAGGAGACATGGAAGGAGACAAGAGATCCAGAATAGCAAGGTAGAAAAACATTGGTTTTCAGAGAGGACTGCCCTCATTCTTACCTGAGCTTCTTGACAGGCTGCCACAGTAACCGCCTGAAGCACTGGAAGGAACTACCTCCCAGTTGAGGTAATTCATTACATCAGCGTTACTCCACTCCCATCCACCTCCATTGGGTTCTTGGCCCTAGAGAGGAGGCAGCCGGGGGGGAAAGAAGGACCACTGAAGCTCTGTTTGCACGATTCCTTACGATTCCTTACTGGGAAGAGCTGATGCCTATGTCCAGCCTCATGGAATTGATGTAGTCTTTCAAATGCTACCCAGGATTCAACCTGTATATCTCCTTCCTATTATCAAATCTCTGCTGATACGCACAATCTATTTAAACTCAGAAAAAAATATGTCCCTTGGTGAACACAGCAAGTTGTGCTTTTGTAAAGTTCTCTGAATCACATCTATTCTGTGAAGAATAATTATGGATATTCTCCTCTTTTGGTGTTCCGTCAGAATCAAGGGTACAAACACCCTAAAAATGACAAAAGATAATTCCAAAGCCTCATTTAGGAATTTTGTAAAAGCTGACAATGGTCAGTTGAATATCATGAAGACTAGGAGCCTCAACAGAGCCCAGGGATTTCCCTTTGCCCCAGCCGCTATCCAGAGTTTGAGATATATGTATAATTGGGTCTTTCCTCATAGAAACACAAAGAATGGGCCAGGAAACAAAATCAATGAGAAACAAATTAGATGGGAGGAGAGGATATCTCACCAGTGTTGGGTCATGGAGCCCAATCCACACATACTGGCCACTGTTTGTACTTCTTTTAACCATAGAGGACACAAAGGAAGCCTCAGATCCACTGAGCACAGACACAAGGTGACCTGAGGGCCTCTTCTGGCAGGCCAGCTAGGTGAGGAAAGACAGAATAAGTCACAGACTGAGATCTCACGAGTGAATGGTGGGCACATGTAGATGATAGGGGCTCCTGGAAGAAAAACAGGGCTTTCACTTTGATTCTCATGGAAACATGGGGAAGAAAGCCCACTTCTTCTGTGACTGACATGCACTTCCCACTGTTCCCCTCCTCTGCAACCTCCAGCACTCACATCTGCATCAAACCAGGATTTAGGTATCTTGAACAAGGCATAGCAATAGGAGCCATAGGCTTGGGAGCCCTTGGGGCAGCTGATTCGTGAAGAGGGGACATCTTCCTTGGCATCTTCACCTGAAGTGGAAGGAGATAAAGACAGTGGTGTAGTGAAATAAAGAGCATGGCTTATATGGGTAGATCAACAATGCAAATGTTTATGAAGCCTGTCTTTGGAGATTAAGTCCACAATACAGACTCTCTGTCACCTTTACTTTCTCCTTTTGGTCTTAAAATTGATGTATTTCATGAAAAACAGTCTTCTTTTAACTTTATTTTTCACTATTCTCCTATTATCCATAGATCCCAAATTCTAGGCCAACAGTCTCTACATTGGCCCATCTACTCCTTCTCTAGCTCAGCAGTTCATTCGTGACTGCCACACTTTCCTTGTTAAACTCACCATCTAGAAGTTCCGAGGAAAATAGGAATCTCTTTAGTTTCAATAATGGGCTGCTATAAAACCATCTGTCATTAGTGCTTAGAGGAACACAGCATGGCAGAGGAGTGGCAGGCAGTGTTTCTGTATGGGACTCTCTTCATCATAGCTGCAGGAGACTCCGGAGCCTTCCTCTGCTCCTTAGCTCTGGACACTCACAGGAAATTCAGTTCTAGGAGCAGAAACACCTTACCTTGCACCTGAGATAAGAGCATCAGGCAGGAGAGTAGCATCCAGGACATGCTGGTGAGATCTGTGGGAGGCAGCATCTTATCTAAGAGGGAGGAACAACCAGAGTCATGGTGTATGGTAAGAGAGGACATGTTGAGAGAACCATCCCATCCCTTCTCCTTTCACTAACCCTGTAGAGATACACTGATTTTCACTCTATTCCTCTCCTTCTTTGCTTCTGAAATGAAAAGAACCCATTTTCCCCCCTTCCTCTGAAAACTTCTCAGGAAGCCATTCCTGATTCTCAGAACCCTATACTTGGTGAGGACTGGTACTCTACCATACTTTCTCCTGAGGATCTCATCATCTTTCAGCTCCTACTTACCTGTCTTGCAGAGATGTGGGATGGTTTGTCACAGCAGAGATGGCTGTGCTTTTATAACAGGATTTGAGGGAGGGGCATCAGAGTGAATAACTGGAATGCTTATGCAAGTCAGGGAGGTAGGTGGTGCTTGGCACCAACTCCAGGAGGTTCCCATCAAAATCACGAGTTTCTTCCTGGCAAAGACTGTGAACTGCTACATATAGAGCCCTTTCCAGTTAGCTGCCCTGCTCTGTTGTCCGGTGTGGGTGCAGTTTGAACTTTCCCCACCTCCTCCCAGGTACCTTGTTCTGGGAAATTTAAGAAAATGATAACTGTATTACAGATTATGCTGTGACACCATTTTCAAAATATTGGATCCTTGAGTTACTGAGGAAAGTGGATATTAACTTTTGTTCCACCAGAAAGAAGTCATACCTGTAGATTCACATGTATATTTCCTGGTACTTTTAAACTATATTAATAATTTAATGTTTGATTAGTCAGCAATTGTAATTATTGATGATGATGGTGTACTACTTGAAAGAAGAAAGGAAATTTTTAGGCCAAGGAGAAAACCCTGTACCAAAGGTTGTAGGAAGCTTGATAATCTCTTGAATCAATATTACAGTTGAGGTTTCAAGAAACAGTTCAAATAAACTTGCTCTCCCGCTGCTGCTTTGAGGCAAGATTGAGACATAATAAGAACTAGGCTAACTGTAATTCTGAGCTGTGCACCTGATATTTATAGTAGTATCTTCAGCTTTGATCACACACTGATGGGATCTTTAAGATCCTCTCAGGATGGCATTGAAGGTGTAATTTTCATAATTGCAGTAAAGTGTGCTATTTTAATGGTATAAAACCTTGTATCCATAGGTCAAGAAAATGATGAGTAAATGGTGTGTGCTTTCACATTAATTCAGCCACAGTCATCACCTTCTGCCCATCACCTATGTAAGTACAGGCAGAATGAAGATGATATTTCACATTAGAATGACCTTGAACTACACCAAACAATGAAAATAATTAATATTAACAAGCCTCATTCCTTAAATACATACTTTTAAACACTCTCTTTGAATGTATGTGGAAGTCTTCTTCCTGAGGACAAATGATTATCTTGATGAAAAGCAAGTTAACTTCCATAGCTTTCCTTGAAAAATGACTTGACATACATATGGTTTTCAAAACATGTGGGCATTTCCAGAAATGCTTCAGAAATGCTCAAATATTGTTTAGTGCCTACTTTAATGTCTAGTGCTATGAACATCACTGATGTGAATAATATTGGCATTTTTATGATAATTTGGTGTTTAAAAGTTCCCCAAGAGAAAAACAATTTGAGAAGGTGTCATTATTATCTATCCATCTATTTCCAGGAAATTAGATGATGAAAAGAGATTTTATATTATATCAAAACAAATGCAAGTAGAAAAATCAAGAAAATGTGAATTCAAACAATGAATAAATATTATAAAATTGCACAATACTTAACAACTGAGAGAAAAATATGGAAAGTCCAATACATAAAATACATTTATATTCTAATATGGGAATATTTAATGGAAATATGATAATTATGAAATTATGGGTGAAATGTAAGTAATTAATAAAGTTAAGGTGTTATGTTTTTACATGCCAACCTGGATGTTGATACTGTACTATCTGAGATGCTTTTGTCCTTTAAAGCTTAATATAATAATTACAGATAAAAAATGTTTCTCAGAAGTTACATCAACATAATTTGCTGCATTATTGACAAAGGGGGAGAGATTGAATGGAACAAGGTAGGCAATAAATGGATCTCTTAGTAACAGACATGTGGGGGATTAATCATACAGTTCCTTTTGGATTTACATGATTTTTTTCTCATAAAAGGTTGGATAAAATGGAATGCCGAGAAGAAGGAAAAACTGAGAAATGACATAGGAAGGAAATTTAAAGGACAATTTTCCTTAAGAACCTATATATAATTTTCCTGAACAAAACAGTAAACAAACCAAATCTGTACAATAAATGAGAAGAAAAAAGAATTAACCTCAGGGATACAAAGGTATCTTCATCAAAGAGATTATTGTTTGTATCATATTGAGAAATTTTCCTTTTTGAAAAAAAATTAAATGATCATCTTGCAGAGAAAAATGTACTTAGCATAAGTCTAACTCTCATTAATTAGCTCTGTACATTGGTAACAATCAAGATATAGATAAGAATCCTTTAGTACGGTAATGAAACCTTCAAGGGCTCAAAATAAATATATTGAAAATATTTCCTTCAAAACCATGAACATAAATTCTCCACACTTTTGATTCTATTCAACAGTATCATATTACGGAAAGCACAACTTTTCAAAGAAAAAGAAAATTAAACAATCAAGAAGGTAAATAAAGCTTTCAGTATTTGTAAAAACATTCCATTTCTGTAAAGAATAAAACCCTGAAGAATCTCTAAATTGACCATTAGAGTTAATGAGAGAATTTAATATGCATGAAAAATATTGCCAACATATAAATTTTAATTAAACACTTAAATTTTAGCAGCAGAGTTAGAAAAAATATTGTTACAAAAGGTACTACATTTCTTCCTTTTAGTAAACATAAGTTCTTTTCTCATACAAAATAGTCTGAAGCAATTCCCTCCATCTACTCATCCGCTTCTTCCTGATGTGGGAGTGATTTCTTATTAATAAAGAAACTGCCTTGGCCCATTTTATTGGATAGAAAATTAGGTAGGCGGAGTAGACAGAGGAGAATGCTGGGAAAAAGAAGCTGTGTGAGGAGTCGCCATGGTTCTCCCGCTCCAGACAGACGCAGGTTAAGATCCTCCCTGGTAAGCCAGCTCGTGGGCTACACAGAATATTAGAAATGGGTTAGAACAATATGTAAGAGCTAGCCATAAGGAACTGGAACTATCAGGGCCAGGCAGTGTTTGAAAGAATACAGTTTCCGTGTAATTATTTCTGGGCATAAGCTAGCCATGCGGGCGGCCGGGTGCCGGGGACGCAGCCCTGCTGCCGCTCCTATTTCAACAGATGGCGCCCAGACGTGATGGCTAAATCCACTTAAAAACCTGAGAGGGCTTAAAAAGGAGAGAGAGAGAATTTAAGACAGCTTTTTGCTGTTTCTGGGTTGCGTGCTGCAAAGAAATTGTCCTGACTCGGCAGCAGGAAAAAACTGGCTGTTTTAAAATGCCGGCTTTCTGGGCTGTGCCGCCATTGTGATCTCTGTCTGGCTCCGGCGGGAGACAGAGCGTATGAATGGAGCATTTGGATTAAAGTGCTACGATTTGTTTGATGGCAACTAGACTGCTGTGTGCCTAAAAGGGGGACATTATGTGCCACAGCTCAGAGGCACAAGCAGCTCCACCATGCTACTGGTGCAATGTGCAAGGATCAGAGGCACGAGCGGCTCCGCCATGTTGGACTGGGCGGAGCCAGCATGCAATACCTGTTTTTGACCTAGGAATGTCACAGCTTAGATTCTTAAGTGCTTAGTGATTTAAAGGCGCAAAACAAAGTGCTCCTGGATAATGAAAAAATTACAGATTCACAGTAAAACAGATTCAGACACTGTTGGATGAATGTACGTAGGCTTGGGAAAGAGAAGAAAAAGAATATAAAAAAGTTAATGCCCTTAAAAAAAGGGGGTAAAGTCTTTAAAGAGACAGAGTACAGAAGTACAGATAGTTATAGATTAAGAGAAATAAAGAAAAATAAGCCACATAAAAATGGAAACTTCACAGAGAGTCTGGATTATGTACATTGTGTTTTCTTTAAAATTTTTGACTGTGAAGGAGCTAAGTACAGAGAGACATTTCATTATATGGGCTGCTAGGCTGAACCTGCACATATGTTCTAAAGGTATCTTGACTTCAGAATTTGAGTCTAAGGATATGATGCTTTGGAAAAGTCCTTCTTTTGTTTTCACAGAGGATGTGACCCTGTGGATTGCATCTATTCCGATTTGGTATGATAGACCAAGCCCTCCTGAAAGGTTGCTGTGAACACCCTCAAAAAATTGCTTCGCTCAATTGCCAACTGAGATGAACCTGGCACACAGGTTACACCCTAAATGATCTGATTAACAGCGCCCCTATTCAGCAGGAAGCAGTTTGAAGAGAAAAAACTACGCCCATGTTCCCAAATATTGTTTATAAATGTTCTTTTACATTTAAAGGGGGATATGATATAGATATGAATAATTTGCATTGGTATGGATTTTATGGTCAATTTTGTTATATGTATATGTATTTTTGATCTTGATTAAGGTATTGTGATTGTGTAGTTCATTTAAAAATGTAATGTATAATTAGGAAATATAGGTTGTTAATGGATAATCATCGCTAATACTTAAGCTTGTAGTCATGTTAGTTAGATTTTCTAGATATATAGAGAGATATTTTAGTTAGATAGGCATTCTTCATATCTTTCAAAGGCTGCAGAATATGGCATTTAAGATATTTTAATAACTTAGGGTTTTTCATGACAATGAGACAAATTTGCTCCTGGCAGCACCAATCTATTTCAAGAGGAAGATGGGCATCGAAGAGAATCCTTATGGAGTTTGATAGCCATTTGGGCAAGAAACTGCTCTTGCCTGGACGGTTGCATAAACTGGACACAGAGAACCCGCAGAGAGAGGACTGCTGAACTTGCCTAAAGGTGAGATGACCTTTTGGGGTTCCTGCTTCATGAAAGAGTCTGTGAGACATTCTGCAGGACACAGCAAAAAGTGACTGAACTGTCTTTGGAATTTCTTGCTTGATGAGAATGTCTGCTGGATACTATGGGCCTGTAGGCCGAAGATGGATGCCCCAACGGTACAGAGGAACTTTGGGTGACTGTCCAGGCAGCGAGATGTCTCTGTCATTTCTAGAGTTTTCTTATTTCTTGTTTGATAGGTAATATTATATCCTTCTGGAGTCTTTGATGGAGTTGAAGAATGGTTAGTTATAGTTTTCCTTAGTTATGATAAGAGATAAAATAGATATAAATATTGTAACTGTAATTCTTACTTGATAACTGTTTTGTTATA